AAAATCTAGTATGTTGTGAAAACGAGGAAATTCATCACAAAAGTAACAAAATACGCTTTCAGCGCCATTTCATGAATAAAGTAAAACTCTTGAGTATAATCGATAGTTCTCAGTGTTACTTGAGTATCGCCACGCACAGTCAAATCAAGCCTCTTTGTTCTGGCCTGAGTCTACTGCAAAATCTTATACATGCGTCAGCCATTAAGTTTGAAAGCAAATATTTTTCCAAAAATTTAAAAAAAAAACACAAACATCGTTATGGTATTCGGGCATTACGACGCCAGTTGGACCACTGGGACTTTTCTGGATGCATTCGTCGATGTAAACCATTACATTATGCAATCGCCTTTCCAGTGCCGGATAATGTTTGTATGCTAGTATCGGCGCCAACGGATCAATCGACATGGATCTTGAATTTGGAAGCAATATACTGTATTGTTGTAACAGTGTAAAGTGCCTGCTCAAAAAAGAACCCAGGCGGGACGCACCAAGCTTGCCGGTGCGATCAAGCGTTTTCGCATCAAACTGGAAGTAGTTAGGTCGTTAACTGCATTAATGGTTGTTGCTTCGCACCTGCTTTGTGTGCTCACTACTGTAAATTACCGTAAATTTTGCACAAAAGAAAATGAGCAATTTTCGTTTAGCGGCTGTTCTTTGAAAATGACTAGCTGTTCAATGAGTAATTTTCCCACCAAACATTCAAGTACCCGTACGCGAGAACCAAGCATACTTGGAGGACTGAATCCGAAATCTTTAGTTTGTACCTGGACAGTGAATATTCTCCTAAAATTTCAGCTTTTTAGCTTTTCTGATTTCTGAGCTAGCGGTCTTCCCGCCGAATCTTATACGTGCTCGCACGTGAGCCCCATGCGTGCCTAAGGACTGAATTTGAAATCTTTAAACTGCATGTGGACAGGAGAGTTCATCTTAAAATTCCAGCCTTCCAGCTTTTCTAGTTACAGAGCCAGTAATTTTCCCGCCAAATTTTTCACGCACCCATGCATGAGAACCACGAACACCTAGGGGCTGAATTTGAAATCTTTACCTCATACATGCACAGAGAATCCCCTGCAAAGTTTCAGCTTCCTACCTTCACTGGTTCTCGAGATCGCCTTCTCGCCAAAAAATTTACATATTTTTTAGGGCATCCGTACGTGGGACCTAGGCGTACGCGAGTGGTGATATCAAAACGGAAGGGTCACCATGGTGTGAGCATATACTCCCGAAGTTCCAGCCTTTTAGCTTTTCCGGTTGTGAGTGACAAAAAGTACGAACACACAAACACACACACAGCCACTTGCCAATATGCTTTTTGCATTTGAATATATGCACAACCCAGGCTGGAGCGCACCAAGCGGACTCGTGCGATCATGCGTTTTTGCAATGGACATGAAGTACTCAGGTCATTAAATGCATGAATGGTTGTTGCTTTACACCTACCTTTTGCGGTCATTAGCATAAATCACCATAAATTTTG